CCCACCCCCCCTCTCTCTCTCTCTCTTCCCCCTGCGCGGTTCTGGAGCGTCAGCCTGGACTGTGAGCTCAGAGCCCCTGACGTGCGGAGGTTGGGGGGCGGGGCGGGGGATAGGGGGAGAGGGGCTTGGGCTGCAAACAAACCACAAGGCGAGAGAATGAGAGACTGAGAGGAATGTGCGATGGAGGGCAGCCAACAGGACTTAGCCAAAGCTCACACAGTGACATTCACAGCGAGAGTCAGTCCAGAGGGAATAATGAGGTTTCCCAGCCGCACCACTGCCTCCCAGGCCCTCCTCCCCATCCAGGGCTGAGCTCGGCCCTAACCTGGCTCACCTCGGGGTCTGAGTCAGTGACTCTGAGCTCACAGTCCAGGCTGATGCTCCAGCTCGGTGCTGGAGGGAGAGAGAGAGGGAGAGAGAGATGGGGAGTGAGGCTTAATGTCTTCTGGTGAGACATTAAACCTCACTCTACGTCTCTGCCCTGTTCAGGCGGATGTTAAAGACCTGTGGGCTGTTGGGAAAAGAGAAGGGGGTCTCTCTCTCCCTCTCTCTCTCTCTCGGGTTTCCTGGCCGACAATCCCCCAGATCCAATCACTCGCTCACCCTACGGTTGTGTGTGTATTTGGGTGTTTGTGTGTGTGAGTGTGTTTGTGTGTGCGAGTGTGTGACTGTGTGAGTGTGTTTGTGTGTGCGAGTGTGTGACTGTGTGAGTGTGCATCTGATGTCCTCTCCCGCACCTGGTGCTGTGACCCTATTGCCCCCACCCTCGCCCGAATTCACTGGCTCCACATCCCCCAGAGGATAGAGTTCAAAATCCTCGTCCTTACCTTCAGGGCCCTCCACGGCTTCGCTCCTTCCTACCTCTGTGACCTGCTAACCCCATATCAACTTGCACACTCCCTCCACACATCAGGCTTCGACCTACTCCACATCCACACCCTCGGTCCACCATTGGCGGTGGGCATTCAACCTCTCTGGCCCACCCTTTGGAACTCCACCCAACAGTCCCTTCACTGCGCTCCCTCCCTCGCCAACTTCAAGGCACGGCTCAAGACCCCCCGCTTTGACATTGCCTCCGACCCTCCCTGCCCTCACCATCCCTGATCCCAACATCTCCCCCGCATGGTTCTAAATGTCTGACCGTCCAGCCTCTTGGGACATCCTCTCAACATGAAAGGCGCTATACAAATCTAATGTTGTATTGCCATTTTGTATTGTAATAATCCTTGCATTTGATATAGCATCTGATCACGGCTTTGAGCCATCTCAAAGCGCTTCACAGAATATACTGTAAGTGTAGTGACTGTATATTTTGTAGGTGAAATGCGGCAGCCAATTGTGCACAACAGCGTCCCACAAATAGTCAGGGATTGAGTGACCAAATTATGTTTTTTTAACAATGATTTGAAGGGATTATTACCCCCCGGAAAAGCGATCGATTAGCCTGTTTAGGTTCCTATTGACTGCTCGGTAAATAGAGGCGTGTGGAGTAAGGAAACTTGCCTAAGGTTTCACCCTGTCCGGGAATCCAACCCAGATCCTCTCACTTGCGAGGCGAGAGCGAAAACCACTAAGCTACAGGACTCCATTAATGCCTCACAGATTCACCCGCCTGCAGACACACTAACCCACACGACTGAGTGATACTTTCACAGGTATTTTATTCAGTCATTTGGAAAACGGAATATTTACTAAGGAGCACAGGTTTAGTAGCAAAAGGAGTTCATGAGAGAGTCCCATTCAATGTCTTGGAATCAACGATGTTCTTCAAGGTTGGAGGTTTCTCCGAGCAGTGGAGGTTGTTGTCTCTGCAAAGTTGACCGGCTTCTTTTCTTCTCTTGGCTTCACACAGACAAGCCACACCTTTTGTTGCTTCGGCCCCGAATTCCCTGTGCCTTCTCGGGAGCACCTCATGAACCTTCAGTTCAGACCCGTGAGGATACACATCCCAACCGCCTGCTAATCATCCAGTCCAAACCCATTGGAAAGGATGAGATTCCAGGAAGCCGCGAGGAGTTGATGAGATGTGTGAAGTTGAAGGCACGGGATGAACACAACCCCTGAATACACTGACCGTTTCACAGTGGTGAGAAGAACGGTGAGATCAGGATTCTCACTGCAGCGATTGGAACAGAGGTAAGAAGTCATCTTTTCAAACACAGCTATTTAGAACATGGAAGGCTTTGACATGAGTGGCTGCTGGAGGTCATAACCTTCAACCTAACAACAACAACATGCATTTATACAGCGCCTTTCACATGGGGCAGCGTCTCGGAATGCTTCACAGTGGCATAGCCTGATGCCAAGCCGGGGGGACAGAGGAGGTGACTGTGAGCGTCGTCAAAGCAGCTCAATGCTATAATGGGAGGACTGCAGGCTGGCGTTTACTGCAAGGATGAGATCTTATAGGCCAAAAGGTCTCGATCATCAGAAGCTCTGCTTCACCTAAAGCTCTTGTGATCTTGTATGAGCCACTTTCATGGCCACTGGAGACAGGCACAGGTGAGAGAGCGGGAACTATACAGAGCTCCTTCTTTTCTTGGCCTCAGGATGGAGACGCCTTGAATCTATGAGTGAAGAAAAAGAATGAGATCATGTTTCAGCCAAACAAACACTGTCATTGGGAGTCACGGGTTCCCATGTTCTCAAAGGCTCAACAGAATCGCAAAATTCCACCTCGTCTCAGCCCTTGAGATGTTTTGCCCTCAATCCGAGGGTGGTACAGAAATGGGGTAAATCCAACAACAACAACTTGTATTTATACAGGATAGTGTCTCAGAGCTCTGTATAGTGACAAGGTTGGATACCAAGGAAGGGAGAAGGACGAGGTAGGCATAGGCACAGTCGAAGAGGATATCTGAAACCCATCACCAATGCTTAAGAGTTCCGTGCATCCCACCTACAGTGGACTGTATTAGCTGAGCAAAGGGGCAGAGGAGTGGGCTATGAGCAGGTCAGACCTACCCCATGTTCAGGTAGGTCTCAAGGTGGGATTTCAAAATAATAAGGGGGAAAAAACAGGGATTGAGGCAGGGAGTTCCAGAGATTAGGGCCATAGTGGCAGATGTCATGGCCACTGATGCTGGTGCAGAGTGGTCAGGGGACGTGCAGCAGGCCTGGGCCTGTGTTAGCTGAGCAAAGAAGGTGGGCAGAGCAGTGGGGTACGAGGTGATAGAGAGTAACTGGGAACTTTTTAAGACTGGTGAAAAAGTTAGAGACTGAATGGTCTGACCGGCTGGAATTTCAGGCCTCAGAGATGGAGGGGCAATTGACAGATTGATGGTCAGATTAATGTGAGAGACAGAAAGTTAACTTGGCTCAGTTGTCGAGTTCTCCAGGCCCGTGATCGCACGACACAATAAGAAAAAGAGTGTCCTGGCCAACAATCCTCCAGATCAATTCGTCGTCCACATCACTGCTGGGTGTGGGACTTTGCTGCGCACTAACTGTCTGCAGCGTTTGCTGACAAAAACACAGTCACTACATCTGACAAAGCACTGTAGTTATAATAATCCTTGCATTTGATGCAGCGCCTCATCACATGGCCAAACATCTGAATGCTCTTCACAGGATGTTACTGTGAAGTGTAGTGACTGTGCTTGTTTTGAAATAATAATCTTTCTTCCGTTTGATACAGCGCCTTATCATGTTTTCAAGATATCTTAAAGTGCTTCAGGGCATTTTACTGTAAAGTAGTGACTGGGTATTGTATTGTGTTGTATATCATAACCACTTGAGCTTCAGTGGTTTTGTATTTAAGATACAAATAACGAATGATTGACAAACCTTATGTTTTACGGACAAGAAACGATCCCGATCACCAACAGAAAGAGACATTTAGCTGCCGGCATCAGCCACAGCATCACAGTGATGAAGCTGCCATCGCTCTGTCTGTCCCCATCGCTCTGTCTGTCCCCATCGCTCTGTCTGTCCCCATCGCTCTGTCTGTCCCCATCGCTCTGTCTGTCCCCATCACTCTGTCTGTCCCCATCACTCTGTCTGTCCCCATCACTCTGTGGTCCAGGTGCGAGGATGTCTCTGGTGTCCCTGCCCTGTGTGTTCTCAGCTACACAGCGGTAAGTTCCCCTCAGCCTCGGGCCCCGGATCACCCCCACGGTTAGATGCTTGTCCGGTACGTGTGTGACTGGCGTGTGGCTGGTGTTAATGGGCAGCGTGTTATTCTCAGGGTCGATCCATGTGATGTTGGCCGGTGGTTCCCCCTCAGCCGTGCACACGATGTCAACTCCGGCTCCATCACCGGCCACGAGGGACAGACTCAGGATTACAGCCGGAGCTTCAGGTATAAAGAAACACAGAGTTATTCAAACAAACAACTGTCCCCATCGTGTCTGTGCTGGTGCTCACTCCCCCACTGGAGCTCTCTACTCTAACCCCATTCCCTGCTCTCTCTCCCCATCGTGTCTGTGCTGGTGTTCGCTCCCCCACTGGAGCTCTCTACTCTAACCCCATTCCCTGCTCTCTCCCCATCGTGTCTGTCCTGGTGTTCGCTCCCCCACTGGAGCTCTCTACTCTAATCTTTTCTTGTACATTTTCATGTTGCTGATAATGTTTTGCTCCAAACACTTTTCAAAATTCCTTTTTTAATATTCGGGTCCCAGCGCTTTGGGAAGTCCTCCTGATGTCAAAGACGCTATATGAATGTACTTTGTTGTTGTATTTTGAGGAGTTTCTTTAGATATTTGTTAATAAGAAATATTTAATATCAAACGTGTGAAACATCAGTATTGCATATATTTGATGATCACAAGAGAGGTTTGTGTGAAGAAGTGCTTCAGCCCATTTGATCTCAACCTTCCCAACCCCCCCTCTGTAATGAGCCCCAGTGTCCTGACCTCAACCACCCATTCCAGTTCTACACCGGGAAACTAAATATTGCTGTTCTGATGGCAGTGCAGTGTCTGGGATGGTAACCAGTCTGTCTTGTTCCGACACTGATGGACCTGGTCGTGTGTTTAAGTTTTGCTTTACTCAGAGGGTAGTCAGTGATTGGAACAGGTGGCCAGGAAGGGTGGCTGAGGCCAGGACCGGAGCTTCTCTTCATGACCTGAGACAGGAACAGGATTGGAATAGTGCAGAGCGGTCAGTGTGACAGAGTACATGTTACACACTGTGAAATCCTGGATATTTTAGCTGCTCTTCATGGCACCATCTCCCTCATCCCTGTGCTCCTCACTCAGCCTCTCTGAGCCTGTGGGCAGCATAATGTCTCACAGACAAATCCTGGGAAGTGTAGTGACTGTTTTGCAGCCAGTTTACTCAGATGAAGGAGCCCCAGTGGTTGTGAAGGGCTCTGGGATGCTACCCTCCATGAGGGGTGCAATATAAACAATCAGTTCAGATGGAGGACTGTTGAAGTCTAAGAAGCTTAGATTCACTGCGATGTCCCCAGGGATTAGAGGTTTCAGTTACTGAAAGAGATTTGAGAGGTTGTGTGTTTTTTTACGAAGCTGAGAAGATTAGGGATGACCTGATAGAGATCACAAAGGGTCAAAGAGTCACAACAATAGATTTTCCTCTCATTAGCCAGTCAGTCACAAGAGGAATAAGAACATAAGAACATAAGAATTAGGAGCAGGAGTAGACCATTCGGCCCCTCGAGCCTGTGCCCCGCCATTCAATAAGATCACGGCTGATCTTCAGACCTAACTCTAATTACCCGCCCTCTCCCCATATCCCCTATTTTTTAAAATCTCTCAGTCTCAGCCTTGAAGATGTTGAAGGACTGAGCATCTACAGCCTTCTGGGGTACAGACCCAGGGAGAAAATCCCTTCTCGTGATTTTGGGGCAGCCGGTTGCCTGATAAATACCAAATCAGCAGTGCCCTGGAGTACTGCGACCGCCTGGCTCAGGAACCAGACTGGAGACCCCCACAGAGGGTTGACTCCTGCCCAACGTCCTGTGGCCTGGTATCTCACTGTGGAGCCAGTCCCTGCTTTACACCTTCTTTGTGGTGGGAGAACCTTACAGGGCAGTTTGTGACCTGCCAGCCACCTTGATGTTCTCGAGATCCATTGCCACTTCCCAGGCTTACTGGTCACCAGCTGCTGAATCCAGGTCCTCATGTGAGGGGCCTCGGCAAATAGACAACCCCACAGTGAGGCCGCCTCAGCCTCCAGGTGCTCAGTGACAGGTCAGTGTACAGCACAGCCCTCCCTCCCTGCAGCCGCTCACTCACTGTCACCTGTCAGCTCCCTGCTACACACCGTCCATCACAGGGAACACTGGCTCTCTATTGCCCGTCCTGGGACGGGACACTTCCCACTGACTTCGGCCCCAGTGAGGAACGTCACGTCTCATTCCCACTTCCCATCGTTCCTCACCTGTAACAATCAGACGTGTTTTGGGGCCAGTTTCAAACTTTCCGTCCTCACCCTGGAGCTCCACACGACAGGACAACAGCGTATTATTGTCCTCTCCCCTCAGTTGGTTTATCTCTATTGCAGCGTCGTTCCTCCTCGGGTCCCCAATCACTCGGTGTCTCTCTCCCTCGTTTACATCAATGACATTTTGATACTTTCCCTGTGAATCCGGCCTATAATTTGTATATTTAATATACACAGGACCAGTCCAGTCTCCCATCCATATGATGGTGATGTTCCCTGTGTATCTGGGGTGAGGGGGAGTGAACTTGCAGTACACGGTGACCGGTGACCCTAACCTGCCGGTCACTGTATCGGGGGTCTCCATCGTCCAGCCATTCCCACTGAGCCCTGTGAGGACACACATGGTGTAATGTGAACCAGAACACAACATAAAAGCAAACAGGTAACACTGAGCTTGTACAAGAGCTTGGTTAGGTCACAGCGGGGAGTAATGTGGATAGTATTGGGATCTCCACTGTAAGAAGGATAAAAAAGTGATGGAAAAGATGCAGCTTAGATTCACTGGGATGTCCCCAGGGATTAGAGGTTTCAGTTACTAAAAGAGATTTGAGAGGTTAGGGATTTTTTACGAAGCTGAGAAGGTTAGAAGTGACCTGACAGAGATCACAAAGGGTCAGAGTCACGATACATTTTCCTCTCATCAGCCAGTCAGTCACAAGAGGAATAAATCTAAAACTATCACAAAAAAGGAGGTTTGAAACCCTGTCTTTAGACAGAGAGCGTGGGATTGTGACATTCTGTAACACAAACCGGACATGAGTCAAAGTCCGTCAATAATAATAATAATAATCCTTGCATTTGATACAGCGCCTTATCACGTCTTCATGACGTCTCAAAGCGCTTCACAGAATATACTGTAAAGTGAATTTACTGCATATTTTGAGGGTGAAACGCAGCAGCCAATTGCACACAGCAGCGTCCCACAAAGAGGCATGAATTGAGTGACCAGTTTATTGTTTTTGAAGGAATTATTACTCACGGAAAAGTGGTCTGTCAATCCGCTAACAACCGGGTTCCTACTTAATGCTGGATGAACGGAGTGATGTGGAGTAAGGAAACGTGCCCAACATTTAGCCCTGCCGGGAATTGAACCCAGGTCTCTTGTCCGCGAGGCGAGGGCTCTAACACTTGAGCTACAGGACTCCACAGTCAAGTTTATAAAAGGGAATTGGATAAATGTTTGAAGAGGAGCAATATTAAAGGGTGTTGGGTGGGGGGGAGGTAGAGTGAACGAGACCGAGGGTGTGACTGGGCGGCTTGTGAAGGAAATAACACATTTTAAAATGGAATGAACGGGCGGAGGGGCTGTTTTAATGCTATAAAAATACCATCATTTTAACAGTCAGAAACTAGACTAGATCAAGAGCTGCAGTGAGAACTAACGCCAGCACAGACACTTTGTTTGCGGTCAGTCGGGTGGCTGATAACAGAGGAAACTCACCACTGCGCTTAAGAGTCTTCAAACCAAACTATTCAGAATTCCACCTATATCTGGAAATGTCTGTGTGTCTGGAATGAGATGCACTTTGTCCCCAGAGGGACGTATCCTGCTCACCTCATCACAGACAGTATTCTGCGCAGGATGGGAAGATCACCGATTCAACAACAAATTGTACAGCACCTTTCATGTCGGGAGGACATCAAGAGAGGGGTGAGGGGAAGGGATTGTGGGATGGAGTTCCAAAGGGTGAGGCAAACACTTACACTAGGCTTTATAAATAGGGGCATAGAGTACAAGAGTCAGGAGGTTATGATTAACCCATATAAACACTGGTTAGACCTCAGTTAGAATACTGCATCAAGTTCTGGGCCCCACACTATAGGAAGGACGTTAAGGCATTGGAAAGGGTACAGAGGAGAAGGTTACGAGGACCTAATAGAGGTCTTCAAAATCATGAGGGGATTTGATGGGTTAGAAAGGGAAAAGCTGTTCCCACTGGTGGGAGTGTCGGTGACTCGAGGTCACAGATTCAAAATAGACTCTTAAAGAAGCCGAGGGGAAGTGAGTAGAAATTTTTTCACGCAGAGAGTTGTTCGAATCTGGAACATTGCCTGAAAGGGCGGTGGAGGCCGATTCGATAACTACTTTTAAAAACGCGGTGGACGGGTATTTGAGGAGGACGGGTTTGCAGATTACAGGGAAAGGGCCGGGGAGTGGGACTGACATTACATTGCTCTGTTCAAAGAGCCGCACAGACTCAATGGGCCGAATGGCCTCTTTTTGTGCTGTACGATTCTATGGAGTCCTGTAGCTCAGTGGTTAGAGCACTCGCTTTGCAAGCGAGAGACCTGAGTTCAATTCCAGGCAGGGCGAAACCTTGGGCAAGTTTCCTTACTCCACACGCCTAATAATAATCCCTCCAAAACCAAAAACAATAATAAATTGGTCATTTTCAATTTACAACTGTTTGTGGGACATTGCTGTGCGCAATTGGCTGCCGCGTTCGCCCACAAATATACAGTCAATTCACTTTACAGTGTGTTCTGTGAAGCGCTTTGGGACGTCCTCCCGACGTGAAAAGCGCTATATCAAATGCAAGGATTATTATTATTATGATTCTATGATTCTACGATTCACTGTGTGGGGCTCAGTGAGTAACACAGTTCTGCCCAGTTTAGAGACGGGAATCTTATTTGCAGGAGATATCACGTGACAATTCTTTTATATCAGCAACGTTTACATGGGAACATAAGAATTTGCTGGCGAAGGAAGACAAACTTCTATCTCGTTCACCTCCACAATCCTGGCAATCGCTTGACATGTCATGTCCCAGACTATATAGTACACTATATAGATAGATTTCTTCCTTGTACACCTGAGACTGGTGTACAAGGAAGAAATCTATCTACTGTGTTCTTGAAACAAACAACACTCTTTGTTTCCACCATCTCCCTAAGGAACCTTCCATATGTTTACTACTCTTTCACTGAAGTAGTGAACAAATGTTTTAATAACCTTTTCATTTCTGTATTTAATCTGTAATGTTAGAAAGTCTCAAAGGTCTTCAACTTTGTTCATGGACAAACACAGCAGTCAGTTTGCAAACAGCGATATCACAAAAACAGCCAGAAGGTAAATGAGCGATTAATCTGGTTGATTGTCGCACAGGAAGCCGGGAGGAACTCGCTTCTCTTTTCCATTAGTGTTGAGGGATCTTTAATATCAGGCAAACAGGTCCTTGTTTTAACGTCTCATCTGAAGGATGGCAACTCTGACGATGTACAGCTCCCCCTGTGCTGGAGCATCAGCCCGGACTCTGAGCACAATCCTGACATGGACACGAAACCAGGCTTTAGACCCAGAGGTGAGAGTGTGACTGACTGAGCCAAACTGACTTCCTGCGTTACGTTAAAGTCAGAGAAGTGGAGCTGCTGTCCATGTGATTTGTTGGTTTACGGCACAGAAGCCTTCCCCCCCTCTGCTGTCTGTGCTGGTGATCGCTCTTTACTGGGGCTCTATACGGTAATCCAAATCCCTGCTCTTTCCCCACTGTGTCTGTGCAGAGGTATCAGTGTATTTTTCGTTAGTCGGGTGTCTGACACACGCAGAAACCCATCCCTATGCTGTGGATTATCCAAACCACCAGACACCGCACCCACATCACTCCCACCCTCGCCCTCACGCCCACCCTCACCTTCGCTCACCTCCACTGGCTCCCCATCCCCCAGAGGATCGAATTCAAGATCCTCATCCTCACCTACAAGGCCATTCATGGCCTCGCTCCCTCCTACCTCTCTGACCTACTATCCCCCCACGTACCTGCCCGAACCCTCCGTTCCTCTGGCTCCGGTCTGCTCCGCATCCCCCGCCCCAACCGCCCTACCATCGGTGGTCGGGCCTTCAGCCTCTCAGCCCCGAGGTTCTGGAACTCTATCCCCCAATGCCTTCGCCGCTTCCTCCCTTTCCTCCTTCAAGGCCGGTCTCAAGACCTTTCTCTTTGACCTTCAGCCTTCAGCGCCGCTCTCGACTCTCTACCCTCTTCTCGCTCCCTCCCTTCCCTCCCTTCACCCTGACCATTTCCCCCCTCCTCGCTCCCTCCCTTCCCTCCCCTCACCTGACCATTTCCCCCCTCCATTTATAGAGCGCATTTCACGTCAGGAGGACGTCCAAAGGCGCTGTACAGTTGGGTCAGGACCCGAGCAGGGGGGAAATGGTCAGGTGAGGGGAGGGAAGGGAGGGAGCGAGGAGGGGGGCCTTGAGGTGATAAAGGTGTGGACCAGAGTGTCAGACGCGTGAGGGGTGAGGTAGTGCCATAGTCTGGCGATGTTCTGGAGGTGATGGAAGGCAGTGCCAGTTGTGGTGCGGATATGAGGGAGAAAGGACAGCTCAGGGTCGAGGGGAACCCCGAGGTTCCTGATGGCTTTGAGAGGGGGAGAGTGCAGCCTTGGATGCTGATGCTGTCAGCGCCTGAGGTGCGGAGGTGCTGACATGAGCCAATCAGGAGGGCCTCAGTTTTACGCACGTTGAGTTGAAGAAAGTAGTCTCTCGTCCAGGACTCGATGTCGGACAGACAGCTGTCAGGACATCGGGGGTCGTGGAGTTGAGGGTAGAGCAGGAAAGGTAGAGTTGGGTGTCATCCGCGTACATGTGGGAGTGAACCCCATGTCTGCGGATGATGTCAACACCGGGGGAGCATATACATGGTGAAGAGGAGGGGACCGAGGACAGAGTCCTGAGGGACACCGCACGAGACAGTGCGGGGGCCGGAGGAAAAGCCATTCGCGGAAACAAAGTGAAGACGGTGGGAGAGGTACGACCTAAACCACTCAAGGACAGGGCCTTGAAGGTTGAGGTGGGAGGACAAGCGGTGGAGGAGGATAGCGTGGTCGACCGTATCGAATGCTGCCGATAGGTCGAGGAGGACGAGGAGGCAGAGGGAGCCCTGGTCACAGATGGTCAGGATGTCATTGGTGACCTTGACCAGGGCAGTTTCTGTGCTATGGGCAGCACGGAAACCCGACTGAAGGGGTTTGAATAGTGAATGGGTGGAGAGGAACGAGCGCAGTTGGGAGGCCACAACTCGTTCCAGGACCTTGGACAGGAAGGGGAGGTTGGAGATGGGCCGGAGATTGATAGCTGCGACGCATCAAGAGAGGGGTTTTTCAAGGTGGGAGTGATGGTGGCAGTTTTTAGGGGAATGGAAACAGAGCCAGAGGAGAGGGACAGGTTGATGATGTCTGTGATATGTGGGGCAGGTGGTGGCGCTGGGAGATAAGGAGTGGAGTGGGGATGGGGTCAAGGGAGCAGGTGGTGGGTTTCAGGGATAGGATGAGTTTGGTGACAGAGGGTGGGGAAACGGGTACGAAAGTGTGTAGGGGAGGATGGGTAGGAGTCGGAGTGTGGGAGAGAGGGGGTGGGGGGTGGATGGATGTTGGAGGGGAAGTGACCGCGGAGCGATTTCCCTTGATTTTGGATTCAA